TCGCTGCGCTGTCTTCATGGTTATTGCGCAGATCAATTCCTAAGTGCCTACAACAACTTGGTGCGGCTGTACGAGTCGTTCAGCATCTCCGAGGACGACAGCGTCAGGAACGAGTTGGTCCGGAGCCTGCAAAACATTTTAGGCTCCAACTGCCCCTTGTGTTCCAGCGATCTAACTCTGGTGTTGGGGTAGATGCCTTTGGCGCACGTGGGGGAAGTTGTGCAAGGAGGGAAGTGGGGAGATCGCTGAGGTAGAAAGGTCGCGTGTTTTCTTTCGTATTTATTAAAATAAGGATGAGACTCGTGCAGGCTGTGATCTCGGCAGTGGCGGTGGCCCGCAAAGCTGTCCCGGAGATGCCGAGCTGTCCCAACTGGCCGGAATTCGTATGCCGCAGCCAAGCGAAGGTTTGTCTCTGGTGTCCGGAAAGCAGTCAGTGCATGCCTGCTGCGGGCCAATGTCCCCTCGACGAAGCGCCCGCTCCCAAAAGACTCGACTGCCATAAGGTGACAGGACCGGCTTCCTGCGTCCTCAACCGCGACATGAAGACGGCCTGCAGAGGGTTTTGCTTGCGCTACAAAACCGACGCAGACAACGTAAGCCTACCGCTTTATTCTTCCTTCACCATGTTTTTCTTCTTTCTCCACAATGCTCTTCCTCCACGATGCTTTTCCTCTACGGGGCTTGCTTGTTCAGAACGTGAGTCTCCTTTGGGACGATGGACTTTGCCTTAATGGCTTTGAGATATGCCCGGAAACGACCCGCAAAATGGTTACGAGCATCACAGAGGTGCCCTGCGCGGTCCGTAGTACCTGTCACGAGTGCTACCAGAACACCTGGGGGAAGGAGGTTGAGGATGAGCCCAGCTGCGTTTGGACTGCGGAGAAGTGCCAGGACCGCGCCGACGAGACCGATGAGGAGTACCATATTGGCGTCTGTCCCAGCGTTTGGGAAGATTAAACAGCCGTTGCCGCAGTCGAACTTAGATGTCGGTGATTGGTGTTGTCGGCCATGAGAGAAGCAGGCAGTCCTTTGGTGTCTGACGATCTGATTTTCCGCCGGATTCTCAACGGACAACTTGCGCCAGTTGTGCCTTCCGCAGTTGTGCCCTTCACAGTTGTGTCCTTCACAGTTGTGTGTGGTGCTACTGCTGCCTGGCTGGCTGTCGGGATAGCTGTCTGGTTGACTACTGGAGTACTTGCCTGGTTGGCTACTCGGGTACCTGCCTGGTTGCTGGTGCTGCCCGCTACATTCTCGCTTTCGTGTTCAGGTGTGTTCCCCATGACAATTTCCCCCTGGTCTTGAATGGAAGTACTCCCAGCTGCTGCTTGCCCGACAGCTGGTACCCCCAGGTTCCCCATGCCGTAGCTTCCATAGCTAGCCGTTGGCATCATGGACCTGCTGGCAGCCATGCTCATCCCCATGCTGAAAGCGCTGGGGGATTTGTTCACGACCGTTATGGTCTGCTGCTTGGTGTCCTTCACTTTTTGCTTCCCGGACTTGATCAAAGCTTGTCTAGCTTGATCAGGCGAGTCCACAGAGGCCACTATTTCTGCGGGTGATTTCGTCGGGGTTGTAGGCGAGGTGCCAGACGCTTCAGCCGGAGAGCCAGTCGCCTTGGAGATTCCAGGGGTGACCTCAGCGCCAGTCACTGGGGTACTGGACGTTGGCGTTGGCGTGGGCGTGCTGCTAGCTGTGGTCGCGGTGGGACTAGTTGTCGTCGTCGTGGGACCAGCGGCAGTCGTAGTCGTCGTCGTCGTCGTCGTCGTCGTCGTCGGGCCGGTGGTGGTGGTGGTGGTTGTGGTTGTGGTCGTGGTCGGGCTAGCGGAGTTTGTTGTGGCTGGTGGGACAGACGCGGTGACAGTCCTCTGGGGAGTTTTCGACGGGGCGGCGGCGGCGGCAGGCCTCGGTGTGGTTTGTGAGGGCGCAGCGGGAGTCTTGGCCGTCGATTGGGGAACAGTGGTCGGTCGGGGGATAGTGGTGGGCCTAGACGTCGTGGGCACAGGTGTGGTGGTGAGCGGGGCGGCGCTGGCTGGAGTGTTGGAGCTAACAGCCATACCCTGCCGAGCGCTGGTTGTTGCAGCAGCCGATCCCGCGGCGGCTTGCTGCACCTTGCCAGCTTTCCAGTCCCTAGAGTTCAAGGGAGGAGCCGTATACACTTTTCCAATAAATCCATACCCACCTGTTGCCAGTGTCACCAATAAAATTTTTTTTTGCATCTGTCTGCACACGCGTGTGCGCTGCACTGTTTGCAGCGCATAATGTCAAGAGTTCCGCTTACTGCCAAGGGTTGACCGACATGGACCTGTCGGACATGTCGAAGTACCTTTGGAACGTCTTCGTTGATCCGTCCTCCGCTGTGATAATGAGGCGTCTGTCCTCGTCAACTTGACTAGCTCCGCCAGAGACGTAGTCCACCTTGAAGGACACGGCGGAAGCATAAAGTTGTTTGGCCTCCTCTTCTTTTTCGTGAGCGTCGCCGTGAGTGAGCATGAGAGTGCTTCGCATAGCGGTCTTCTCGAGGACTTGGCCGAGAAGCCCTACCCTGACGGAGCCGGCGAGCTTGTTGCCATGGCCCGACGAGAACGCGACCTGCTTGCTCAGGTCCTTGAGCTGTGTGGTGGCCTCGTTGAGGTTAATGATCAAACCATTATCTGCTTTCCACTGGCCGCTGAGACCGGTCCAGTTGGGGCCCTGTACCTGCCTGTAGTCCGCGTTGGATTGGATGGGTACAGGGGTCCAGATCATGACGGAGATGGCGGCGCCTGCAGCGTCTCGATCGCCCGCGAGCCGGACCGCAGGGCGTAGATTTCCCAATCCCTTGACGTTGGGCACTGTGAATGCGTGGCCGTAGTTCCTGCCGCCAACAACCAAGTAGATATCCAGCGTCTCCTCTTGACACTCCACAAACCAGTCCACAATGTCGCTGGGCTCAAACCCTTCCAGCCATCTGCCAGCGACCAAGCTTGACTGCGTCTGTAAGTTGCCTTGGTGGCCGATAAAAAGTCCCTTAATGTCGTAGCCATCACCCTTAAAGGTGTCGACGCTGGTGAGCCCGTAACTGCGACCAGCACCGGCATAACGTCCCTGCTCATTGGGTATCTCGGCAAACCGAATCTGGGTCACATGACCAGGTCTCAAACTCGTAGTGGCTTCCATCGGATACATGAAGTTCACCGAGCGGTCTTGACCAAACCCGTCAAACTGAGTCGTCAGACAACCTACCGACCAGGTAGAAGGCTGCTCTGAACTCACACCGGCCACCAAACTCTGGCTAAAGATACCCGGCACTGCCCGGGTCATCTTCTCCGACGTAGTCTGAGATGTACCATCAAAGATGCTGGGTCCCTGAACCCCGCTCAACGGCTGCAACGCTTGAGTCATTAAAATTATACTAAGCTTTGTTAGCATCCCCTCAAGAAAAACCGAACGTTTTTGTCTCTACGACCATGGTCCGTAACAACCAGCGACAAGCTGGCAGTTAGTCCCATGATAACCAACTGATGTTACCCGGAATAATTACAGGACCAGTATTCTGGTTCTAGAGCCCTGGTTCTAGCATTCTGGTTCTGGGGTTGGGCTCCAGTTCTAACGACCACGCTCATCTCTACCTCTCAGGTACACTCATCGCTCACCCTCATGCTGGGAGTGCACACCCTCACGCCAGTCGGTGTCAACGATCCGTTACGTACTATCACCTTCGCTACCTGAAGAGCTCAAGTAGTTTATGGAGTCCCTCCGCTTCATACGATTTTCCTGGAGCCAACGGCCGACGCAGCTCAAGAACAACACGGCAATAAGTCCCACGGTCATTAATGCGCGTCCCCAGTCCAAGGCGTGCCCTAGCAACCCGGTATCCGTCGTAGAATGTAGCTCGTCGGGGGCCATCTTTTTAGCCACCTGTATCTCAATTCTTTGCCTCTCCCTGGGTGCTTACTCCGCCTGTCACATCTATACTTACCCCTGCCTCGCTCTCCACAACCGTGGCCCTGTGGTTTGAGACCCAGCCTCCTCCCCTCCTCCCAATACCCTCCCAATCCCCTGCCCCAAGTGGATGCGCCAAGTTGGTTCAGTTCTGGTTAAAACCTGTCAGTGTTTGGTCGGCCTGTACGACACTGGGTTCGGCCTCCTCGACAATGGGTTCACCCCATCCTATCCTCTCCAGTTGCCCAAGTTCGTGCTCCAAGTTAGTTTTTGTAACTGAGTTTAAAATTGGGTTGTAGTCAAAATCTGTGAGTGCTTAGTCAACCTCCTCGACAGTGGGTCCGCCGGGGGCGGCGCCAGGCCCGCCGGGGCCGCCAGGGCCACCGGGCATACCAGACATGCCACCGTAGGCCTTCATCATGACGGGGTTGCAGACGGCTTTGATTTCCTTCTGTTTGTTTT